AAAATTGTAATATAGGGATTTAAAAAAAAAAAAAAAAAAAAAAAAAAAGACCCTAAAACCAAGTAATTGAACACCTAAGATTTTAATTGTCTCAATGAGATGATTAAAATGCTATTAAATCTTAGGTGTTCAGTTAGATATTTTTATTAAAAGTAAATATTCAAAAAGCAAGATTTACAGATTTTCTCTTGTCACTCATATCGATATTGGTGACTCGGAGTAACAAGTATCACAATCACTCAGTGCCCGAGGTTTTGTTGGTCGCACTGGGGAATTAAATTTAGAGAATGATTTTTCTTGGCATAAGAACATCTATTCTGATTGTTGTTACACTAGTTTCAGAAATTATTTTAAAAAATAAAAAAACAACTGCTCTGTCTCTCTCTATCATTTCAAATAAAATAGACTCCATTAACAACATCTGAACATTAGTGACATTTTAGGAGTGACGTAATAATTTGTAATAAAAACAGATTACTTTTCAAGAGAGGGATTACTAGATCGAGATATCTTAGGAAATTTGACTGTTAAATTTTGTGTACTATCGTAGTACATTGACTAAAATACTCGGTTCTTATAATATAAAATACCAACAAAAAATTTACGAAAGACCCAAGTATGCACTGCAAAAAAATTTATTCGAATATTTCCATTTTATCTCTTTAATTTTTGTAAAAACTCTGTGAATCTGCAACATGATGTGGTAGACCGAATAATTTCCATCATTTGAAGGTATAAATTTCATAAATATGCTGGAATATAAACCAACTTTTTTTATAGGGATATTATACATACAGATAGGACATATATTATAGATAGAAAATATATTAGGTATAGAATAATATAACACCATTAGAATTCAATATCTAAAGTCCTAATAAAATAATTTCCCCACGCTTAATAAAGTCTAATCATATAAACTCGTGACTCTAGAGCTCGTGACGTATCTAGTGCCCTAATAACCCTAATTAGTCAAAAGTTTATCCACGTCTCAATCGAAACTTTGCCATTTTTAGGGTTGGTGCGTGTTTGTGTATGGTATTTAACCCAATTTTTTCGACGTGCAGAGAGTAGAGTTATATACTTAAAACTGATTCCTAGGCTTAGGAACAGCTAAATTGTGCATTTAAGGTGGAAGTGCACTTATAGAGGGTGCACTTAGGAAGCTTTGCTATTAAGGATAGTGCATTGATTTATACCATCAAGATCAGCCTCGACGATCCAGAGGTAATAGTTTTGCCTTTTTGGGTCTTAATAAAAAATTTCTCTATGTCGATATCATGGCATTACCCTATTTAGACGAAATTTTGTTAAATAGTATTTGTTTTCAGAATATCAAGTAAAAGAAAAGTTGATATTTCGAGCTGTATCATGGGCAGAAATTCGGAAAAAAATTGCCCGGTTAACTTTTTAACTTTTTTTAAGAAAGTTGTTTCTAACTTCAAAATTTTAGAAAGCTAACTTAAAAAATAATCCTTATTAATTTAAGAGGTCTTGTATAATGACGACTTTCCAAAATAGGAAAAGAAAAAGTTTATTAAATCTTAATATGCACCAAGACTAACAAGTCTTTCTTTTTTTTAAAAAAAAAGAAAAAAAAAGATTTTGGATGTTTGAGACGAGATAAGCTTGCTGTGGACTATATTTAAGATATTCTTAAGTTGATTTCGTTTTTAAGCGTTTTGGATTTATTATAGATAGTGAGTTTAATGAGTTGGTGTTTTTTTTTTAGTGAAAATACCATTTTAGCATGTATATAATTTGAGTTTATCGATTCGTTTAAGATTTTTTTTAAGGTTTTGTACCGTAAAGAGCATCTTAGAAATCAGCCAATCAGACAAACTTCTGTCTCTGATATGCGGTGCTGCCAAGAGAGAACATGCAAGTACAGAAGTACGAATTTAAATATTCACTGCGTAGACGGACCTTAAATTTAGAAAATTATGATAATCAAATCATTTTGGACAAATACTTATTAAATTACGTAATATCCCAATTTTTTTAGAAGTCCGGTACAGTAAAAAGACTTTCCCTTGGCATCGTCCATCACTCATATCTAGAATGAATCCATATTTTTTCTAAGGAAACGTATTGTGCATATGACTTTTTTTTTGCAGTAGTCATATGATCTTATAATTCCTTAATATGCAATACTATCCTATTCACCTTATTTATTGAAACGTTTCTCATAGAAAAAATCAGTATGCTTTAATTATTTGAGTGAAACATTTGTCAAATTCAATTTAGAAATTCATTTGCTGTTATAGGCACACAAATGAACAACCATTTGGACATATGAATTACACAACGTTTCAGTTAGTAATAAAGTTGCCGAAACCGAAAAATGATTGGCGAGTATTTGGTAAAAACGGCATTTTCGGTAATTCTTTTACTACGTGAAACATTTGTGAAACATTTGTGAATTTCTATCTTCATTGATTTTTTTTTTCAAAAAAAGTTGTGTTCATAATCCGATTGATGTCTTCGATGGTCAATTCTCTTAGAGAGAGAAGATTGCATTGTTAAAATTTTATTTTTATGATTCATTTAATGCTAGCCAATTTTGACCAATTCTAGCCTATCGATACTGTATATTTGTTTTACGTGATTGGTTCCTTTTTTTTTCTTAACTATTTTTTTTTTTTTTTTTTTTTTTTAACGAACATTATAACACGACAATAAGTAACGATTTTTAAATTCCGGTAAGTGTTAAAGATTGTTTGTGAAATAAAGTTTTATGAAATTTTATATTCTATTTCATTTATCTTTTTTTATTTTTATTTTTTTGATCAATAAACTTAGAAATAAATATGGGTTCAAGAAATAGTAAAGGAGCCGTAGAAAAATCAGAACTAGTTGATGAAGTATCAATTGAAAAATTGGAACATCACCACGGAAAATATGGAGAATGTAACGAATGCATGCAACAGAATACTGGATACGGCTGGTGCATGTCCTGCAATGCAGAACATTTCAAGCAACAATTTGACAACTGGACAAGTGGTAACAGTGCTGTTGATAAGTTTATTCAAAGCACGCAACTTAATGCGACTAATTGTTGGGAAGTATTGGAATGGGTTCCATATGAAAGATTCTTCAACGCTAAATATCTTGGTAAAGGTGGTTATGGGACAGTATTTGAAGCAAATTGGGATGATGGATATATCAAAAGATGGGATAACGAAACTAAACAATGGAGTCGATTTAGTTATCAAGATGTTGTTCTTAAAAGTTTACGAAACTCAAAAAATCTAATTGAAACATTCTTGGAAGAGGTAATTGTATAATATTTGCCATATATCATGAAATTTACCATGAAATTTACCATGAAATTTACCATGAAATTGATATATAATTTATTTATTTCATTTTAATTTTATTTTATTAGATTAATCTTCAGATGAAATTAAATTTAAACACATATATTATTCCTTGTTATGGAATAACCAAAGATCCCAAAACTGACGATTTTATGATAATTATGAAATATGCATCAGACGGTAGTCTTCGTCAGTATTTGAATAAAAATTTTAAAAACTTAAAATGGGGACCAAAATTAAATATCATACGGACAGCAGCCGAAGGTCTTTATAATATTCATAAAGCAAATTTAATTCATAAAAACCTTCATAGTGGGAATTTAGTAATTGATAATGGTATTAGTTCATATATCACGGATTTTGGTATATATAAACCATCCGATTGTGAATCACAGGAAAAACCCCAAAATCAAATATTTGGCGTGTTGCCATACGTTGCTCCTGAGGTTCTTTATGGTGAAGAATATACACAAGCAGCTGATATATATTCATTCGGAATTCTTATGAATGAAGTAGCATCAGAATTTCCTCCTTACTATAATATTCCACATAACAATAATCTTGCTTTACAAATTAGCCAAGGTTACCGTCCCGAAATAAAAGAGAATTATACCCCTCAATTAATTAGTGATCTAATTAAAAGATGCTGGGATGCAAGACCTGAGCTTCGACCGACAGCACAAGAATTGCACGATGTTTTTGGAAGTTGGTATCGTGACTATGATGATAAGAAAGAATTTCCTGAGCTGTGGAGTCAAATTGAAGCAATTGAAAAGTTACAATCTTCTGAAGATTTCTCAATTAACACATCGAATAATGATAGAGCTACAAAAGCTTATATCACACACCATCAGGCCTCCTATACAAGTTGCGCTTTAAGTTTCGCAAATCTTTCACAACCTGTAAATGCGTCTGATATCATTGTCTAAAAGGTTAAATTAGATATCATAATTTGGTATTTAATTCCATCTTTTAATTTGCATTATTCATTATTCAATTCTTTCTCGAATGTTATTAAATTCTTTCTCGAATGTATATTTTTTTTAAATTTGTTATTGTTTTATATATTATATTAAATGATTTATTTATAAATTGTTTACATTTCGATCCATTTTATTTTTACTAATATTGTTTTAAAATGGATATTCAGAAGATAATGATCTATAAATTTAGAAAAAAATTAAAATTTGTTATTTCATCATTGCTGATTTGTATTTTATATATGAATAAAGATTTTATTACAATATTATTAAGACATTAATAAACTATTCTGTCCTTGACTCATCTGTACCCATGAATCTGTGTCATGATGACGGTGCAGCCACCACCCTTGTAATCACATGAATAATTTAAATCGCGGTCGTAAACAAGTCGCAAAAATTTATGATTTGTAGAAAATAATTAAATTTGCACAGGTTAATCGTTATCACATGTCCGAAGGTCATGTGAAACGGACTGACCTTTGCAAATTTAGTTATTCTATACATTCACTATATTATTGTACGGGTCTGGCATAACACCCGTGCAACACCTTTCACCTCAATAAAAGAATCTATGATTTAAATTATTAATTCTTTCATTCTTGAAAATTCAAAAAAAGCTCGAACAAAGACCTAATAACATCAAGATCTCATTCAATAAGAATTTTGAGAAAAAAGAACTAAACTTAATCAAGCATAACTAAATAAAAGTTTCAAAGAAAGAAAGCGAAAATTTAATAATGTCATAACTCGTTTAGTGAAATTTTATAAAGAAAATGAAAACAAAATATCATATGACTCAGTCTAATAAGAATTTAAAGTAACGAAAACTTAATGACGTGTAACTCCGTCCTATAAGAATTTTAAAGTAATATCTAAAAATGAGTAAATCTTTTTAATAAGAATTTAAAGAAAACGAACTTTATAATATATGAAATGTGTGATTCTGTCTAATAAGAATTTAAGAGAGCGAAGACCAAATAATGCCCGACTTCATTCATTAAGACTTTGAAAAAAGACTAATTATGTTATGATCAATCTAAGATAATTTTTAAAGAAACTAATGTTGACACATTCAATGGCAATTAAGTTTTAATGCTATGCTGTTCAACATTTTTAAAAACGTGAAGTCAAACTACTTTAATAAAATAAATAACTAAATCTGAGCACTTTCATATTGATAAGTGTTCCGAATTTGTTTTTTTTAAACACGTGCAATAACAGATAAATGAGTAAAAAAATGTACGGGCTGTTACGTACAATTATAAATTTTTTTAAACATAATAATAAATAGATTCAACTAATATTTACAATGTTTCTACATATTCAGGTTATGATGCGTATTGCATGTACGTACGTGGTTCAAAACTAGATTTAGGTTGTTCTCATGAGATATTTAGTAAAATAGGACGCTACGATAGTATAAACGTACGAAAATTGAGCAAAATTCGGTGGTATATAGTAAAGTAGTACGGTACGGAAACGTAAATTAGGACGGACGTGTAGAAATTATGATAGTACATACGGTTTGTAAAAGAAAAAAGTCGTAAAACCCAAATTACTTTTCCTATAAATCCTAACATGAAAAAAGACAATACTAGCGCTCACCCTAACCCTAACCATCAAAAAGGGTTATTTATAAAAATTGAAACTTGCAAGTCTATATTAACCGTACGTACGATCAAAATTTGGTATAATTTTCGTATGTCCGTCCAAATTTGTACTGCCGTACAGTACTACTTTACAAGGTCGATTTTTGTTTTTTCGTGGTATCGATTTTGGTATCGATTTTAATTTTTTTCAGACATTTAATGATAATAACATTTTAAATTATAATACCAGATATTTATTTAATTGCAATTGCAAGTAACACAAAACATATTAAAATTAAGTGCAAAGACAATTCTACATATTATTATCAAATAAATTTAAGCTATTTAAAATTTACAAACCCGCGCTTGTTTTTTTGTAATTCAATAGTTTCTGCCTTAGTGGCTTCTTTTCTAACTTTTTTGATGTTCTAACAAAGCAGTTTTTTGTTTTCCAATTCAATATCTATCTAACAATGAATCATTTTATTGTTATTTCGCACCATGGGATATTCCTTCTTCTGTATTATCTAATGTTGATGTTGATTCCACTTCAATTACTTCAATTTTATCCTGAAAACTAGTTTCATGGCTCAGTATTTTATTATCATTATTGGTGGTGGAACTCATTCTTTTGCATAATTAGCGCTAGTAGACTTATGTAAATAAAAAAAATTAAATATCAATATATATTTTTAATAAATAAATGAATAAATACTTACTTAACTATTTTATGCAATTTGTTTCCTTTTAATTTCACTTTTATCATTTCTTATATATGGTACGCAACTTTACATCACATATTTTTAATGCAAAACCAAGATGTAAAACACTATTTTCGAAAATTTTCACCGATTGATTCTTCTATTAATGACTCAATTTCTGATTCCTGATAATGAATTTAATTTTATATAGCTTATATTTATCATTTTAAAAAAATTTATATATACTTCAAATTCAAGATTTACTTAATTCTTTAACGTTTGATATATTATCTATATTTGAAACAATTGAATAAAAGGCGGATTGTTACTATAAAGAAAGTTATAATTGACAAGTATAGGCATCATAATAAGATCATTCATAAATGATTCAAATATTTGACCTGAATATTCGATAGTACAATGCCCAATCATCTGTGTGACGAATACATAATTGTATAATGAGATGTATGTGTGACGAATAGGAATTAATTTTTTATGCGATTAGTTCTTATTTGTCGCACGTTATCAAGATTTATTTATCAAATGATGATTGGTCACACCCTTAAATATTCAAGTCAAATATAGTAGTAAACTTTTGTTATTTACATTTTTTTTTACAATTATGCTTTTTTATTATACAAGTTTATGTAATTTGTTTATTGGATCCGGACCAAGAACTTAGGGAACTATATATGTGACATGCCTAATACCTGTTTGGGATTTAGGCATGCCAATGACAGGTACTCTAGTCACGGGCCTCTTAATAATACTAAGTCACTAATTTCTATAGTTAATACAGATTTTATTTATCGGGGGATTTGTAGAGCCAAACACTTCTACTAAAGAACTTAGAAAGTTTTCGAACACTGAGAGTTGGTTGTCAGAGCTTCTAGCTGTCTTTAATGAAGCAAAAAGGTAGTGCTTTTATACTATCACACAATTCGTTATACTAAATATATTCACTAAATGCATTAAATGCGATAAATACATAAATTCAATAAATGCGACAAATTCCATAAGTGCCATAAGTGCCATGAGTTCGATAAGTTGCACTTAATGCACATACTAATTTTTGTTAGATTCAACCTGAGCTACCTCAACGTCGTTTACCCTTCCACAACGTACGTACGTAAGCACGTTGTGAAGGACGATTCCTCACTGTAATACAAAAATACACTACAGCACTACATCAATACAAACTAAACTACTATAACTAAACCCTAATAATGGTAAGGCTTCGATTGAGGCGTGGAAAAACTTGGTCCGAGTAGCTAGGGTCAATTAGAGCTCTATATTTGGTCACTGGTTCCTACCGTTACTATAGAATTTATTTATCTGGGGATTAATAGAGCCAATCAATATTGAACTCTCTAACTGAGCTGTTAATAAGATGTTTTATTGAGGACTATCGATGGCGCTTTATACTTTCGTACTGTTAGTTTGTACTGTACACAATGAATCTATTCGCTAAATTGATTAAATGCAACAATGCGATAAATGCAACAAAAATGCGACAAATTCAAAAATCAACAAATTCGATAAGTTGAACTTCCTCCATACTAGCTAACTTTGGTTAGATTCGACCTAAGCACTGATTTACCCTTTTGCAGCGTACAGTATCCTAAAATGAGCCAAATATATTATATAAAATCCACTACGAGCAACGATCTACTATACGTAGTTCAAGGTTGTTCTCATGCAATAAATTGAAATTTGAGCATTCTCTTACTATCACAACCATTAAAATGGCAGTAAAGTTTTTTGAAAAACTTTCCAATGATTACACAGAACTTCTTAATGACAAAGAAGACTTTAATGTAATGATTGTTGTTGGCAAATCTTCTGATGCTAAAATATTCCAAGCACATTCTGCTATTTTAAGATATCGGTCATCATATTTTCAAA